ACGTTCAACCTACTTCTTTTCCTCTCTTTGCTCTGGACTTTTCCAGATGGTTCTGCTGTCTTCTCTTTCATATCTACAATAAAACCCTCCCATATCACAGAGCATTCATGTCAGTTTATACAGTGAGTCCCTCTGCCACTGTCTGCCTCGTTGGACAGTTCCAATCCACCTTCTATAACTACTACCACAGCCTTCTAAATTGCATGTTTGGCTCTAGACAATACATTTTACCTCAAGAAAGTAGGTTTCTTTCTAAACTAGTTTGGTAGACTTCTAAAGGCCCTTAATCTAAGATCCAATTTGAGCAGTATCTGTCTTGCACACTACAAGGATTGTTAAAAGAATTAGAAACAAGATGTACAATGCACCCATCCTTACATAGAGCTTTATACAGATCAATGCTTTATTTTTCTATATTTTCCTATTTGTAAAAAATAGCAAGAAACCTCTAAATTACTGGGAAGATTAAATAAGATATAAACCGGCCATACTTAATATTTCATTACCTATCAATGGTTCCCCATCCCTATGACAAGATGTGGCTACTGCCTTTTCCCTAGTGTATCTCCTGCACATGACTTCGCATATCTTCTCCTTTAGCATAATGTACTGGTTTTGTTGTTATAGTTTTGTTTTGTTATGTTTTTGAATCAGGGCCTCTCTATATAGTCCTGGTTATCCTGAAACTCACTATGGAGGCCGGACTGACCTCCAATTCACAGAGATCCACCTGTCTCTGCCCCCCTCCCAAATGCTGACCCAATAATAAACTGTTTTGATAGTAACTATTCCTTCACACCCCATCTCCTTCAAAGTCACAACTTCATGTATGAGAAAGACCTTTATCACACATTCTAACACTGAAGTCTATTCTCAAACTTGAAATACAGCATGTACAAATAATTTAAGGTATGTTAGGGCAAAAAAATTATAATCAAGAAATTTTGAGGTGAAAGTATTCAAAACTATGATTGTATATATGGTTATAAAACATAGCATAATAAAATATAAAAACCTTGTTTAAATGAACTCTGAGAAATTAGCTCTTCCAGGGATGAAATCGTGAGTTGAAATAAAAAGAAGAGTTGCTGCATATTTGAGCAATTGTGTCAAAAAAGAGAAATGTAATTGAAAGTGGTTGTTTTTTAGGTTATTTGTAAGCAATTACAAGAATGTACATTATATTAGCAGAGTGTGTAATCTATTTGTGTGTGCGTATGTACCTGTGTGTTGCTTCCCTACATTACTGTCACACCAATACCTACAGAGTCCCGTTGCTAAACCAAAATGTATGAATGCCCCACTTGGACTTAACACTGTACTTTTCTGTTGACATTCCCATCCCAGGTACTTTTCAATGAACCATATTTGCTTAAAGATTCTAGAAATAAATCAAAGATGTTTTTAACACTTGATTTTATAAAGTCACAATGTATTTTATTATATTTATTATTCATTGTGTGGGGGTATACATATGTGCCACCTGTGTGTAGAGATCAGAGGACAACTTGCAGGAAATGATTGTCTGCATCTATCATGTGGGTCCTCAGGGTTGGTGAACATGCCTTTGTCCAAAGAGCCATCTTAACCAGTACAGCAATATTGCTTGCTATGTTTTCCTGATAATGAACATAAATTCCTTTTTAATAATTAGAGCACTCAAAAAATTTTAATTACATCATGTGTAGGGGGGTTGGTGAGCATGGGTGTGTGTGTGTGTGTGTGTGTGGAGGAGTGGGGGTGGGATGGGGTGTGTATTATGTGTGTATGTGTGTACTGTGTGTGTGTGTTTGTGTGTGTGTACTATGTGTGTGGGTGTGCATATGCACTGGGTGTGTGTGTACTGTGTGTGTGTGTACTGTGTGTTGGGGGTGTACTGTCTATATGTTGTGGTGTGTGTGGTGTGCGTGTGTGTATGTGTGTGTGTTTAGCGCTCATGTGGAGAGAAGAAGACAGCTTGCAAAAATGGGCTCTCTTCCTCCACCATGTAGGAGCAGAGTGAAGGAAAGATAATCAAACTCAGATTCAAACGAAACCCTTACCCTCTGAGCCATCTTGTTCCTTCCCTCGAAAATGTTTTTAAACAATGGCTTCCAGGTTTGGGAAATAGCTTAATTGGTAAAATACCTGCCATACAAGCCTTAGCACCTAAATTTGATGCTTTAAAGAGCCTGGCATGGTGATGAACACTTGTAACTTCAGCAATGGGGAGGCAAATACAGGTGGTTCCCTAATGTTCACTGACCAGCCAACCTGGCATATTTGGTGAGTTTCAGGCCAATGAGAGATAGTCTCAAAAAGGAATAATATTTGGATGTTCTCTGACACACACACACACACACAGCAGCTTCTATATGACATCATCATCAGAATGTCTTGGTTTGTACAATTATTTTTGTTTGTTTTGTTTTTGTATTTGTGTTTAAAACTGACTCAGTTTATTTAAGTCATACTCTCAACTAAAATAAAACATATTTAAAATATAAAAACAAGTCTTATTATCAAATAATAACAATTATTTTACTACCTTAAATTACACTTTTGTATAGCTATTATCCTGCTTAGTAAGAATCTTCATTGTTTTCTTTATGCTAAATATTAATCAAAATACATATGAAAATGAGTGTCATTTGATAAAAAGAAAAGTTCTTGATAATTTTATTACTTAATTATTTTTATTTTAACAAATACAATTGGTATTTGTATTATTGTGTGTTAAGAAACTTGTTTCATTATTCCTATAAAACACTTTCCCTTTTTTCTCTTTACTATCAAAGAGACTAATATGATGGTCACTTCCTACAGTCTTCAATTTTCTCAGTCTTTCTCTGACACTAAGCAATACTGACTTCCAAACACATGATAAAGGTGTAACTTCTAATACAAATTAATTTTTTAAAATATTTCTTCTTATACCTACTATGGGCTAAACTCTGTTTTAAAGACTTTATATTATATTAAATTAAATAAGCCAGGCACATAAGGACAAATATTTCATTATCTCATTCATATAAGGAATCAAAGAAGTAAATGGTAGTTATTAGAGATGTTGCTTGCTTAAATGGAGAGATATTGATGAAAAGATTCATTTTTACAGTTAGGCAGGAGGAATAAGTCTAAGAAATTCATTATGCAGCATGATGACTATAAGGCCAATATATCCACTTTTTAAAAATATAGAATGGATGTTGGATTATCATAAAAACAATAATTATGTGAAGTAATATATTAGCTCAATAAAGTCATAATGTATGTATAAACAAAGTACAATATTACACATGATAAATACAATATTATACATGGTAAATTTTATCTATCAACTTCAAATAAATAAATAAAAGTCAGATTCATCCCCTTAAGAATTCATTATCCACTAAAGACAAAAGACAACTGTATTAAGGTTTGCTGTGTTGAGTATGTACAACACAGAAATAACCTTAAAGTGTTTTTTAACTCAAGAAAAAATGTCTATTAGCAATTGTATTTTAAATCATCAAATAAGTCCACCTCTTTTATCAAGAAAGTGATGACTTAACATTTGTTTGCATTTCACCACCTTGGCAAAGCACAGCTGATAAATAAGACATCATGGAAACATCTCTGAGAATTACAATAATCATCTGTATCATTATTTCCCAAGGTTTAGCACTCCTACATTTGAACTTGTCAACCTAAGGCATAATTTAATTTAGAAAATATAAGTAAGCATAGATGCCATTAAAACCAAATATGAATATGGCAAGAAAAGCATGAACTAGAATTTATAGCCTGATATACAAAAATTATATTTCTATCTATGGTTTTTCAACCACTATCTATTTATATCTTTTTTTGGTATTTAAGCATCTGAATAAAAATAGTATAAGTGAAGGTATAAATCTGTATTGTTTGTGAATTATAAGATACAGGTTGATTAGAATATCATAATTCATGTATTTTATTTGTAACAACACAAAACAGAACCTTCTCTTTCCCTAAAATAAACTTAGATTATAAGAAAAGTACTTCTATTTATGTATTACAATAAGATTTAAAATGTTTGTATGCAACTAAAAATAAAGATTTGTCACACAGGTAAGCAGTGTATATGTGCATTAACATTTATACTTGATTACTTGCTACTCCCAGAACCTTAATGTATATAATCCTTATGGGTGCTTAGTTGGACATAAATACATATTCACTATTTTCTTTCAGTGCATTAGTATTTAAAAGAAGGAAAACATAAAAATAGAAATATGTTGTTCATAGAACATTGGTGACATTCTAATTTTGTACATGCAGTCATTTCGAACACAAGGACCATATTTGACAGGCTAGGCACAAATAACCATATATTTTTACATATACCCTTCTTTCACACCATTTGGAGGTGAGCTTAATTTTCCTCAGTCTCAGTATGCCTTCCATAAAACATAAGTATAGCCCAGTCTGGCTCAGAGGTGAAATTAAGGGCAGCAAAACCACCTAGCAAAGTTGTTTTGCTCCTACAACCCCATGATAAGAACTAAGGTCAACATCATACGGGGTTGGTGAGTCCTAATAACTATTCCTTATTTCACCAAGAAGCAGTTACTCAGCAAACAGCTGAGGTACCAAATTCTACCATCCTGAAATTGTGGATCCTCAGGCACAAAACTCCTCATCAGTGGGATGGATTATGCAATGGTCATTGATACCTGGGTTTGAAATAACAGCAGTTTGATTTATGCATTTCAACCCAGTTCAATGTCACCTGCCAGCGCTGATACTTGAAGACTCTTGTGACCCCACCCCCACCCCCACAGGATAAAGATATTCCCGTTCCAGCTTATGCATTCATTTCTTGGGCAATTTTTCTATTGGTGAAAACAATGAACTCTTTCAATATTCTCTTATCAACAAAGGACTCTAAGATGAAGTCCTTCTGGCCATATCCCTTCTGACTTCTCTCTCTACAATGATGCTTGGCGCTGAGAAATGCCAGACCGGGAGAGGGGAGTAGGAGACAGACAGCTCACCTCTTTGAGCTGCTCCAGCTCTTGTTTGAGGCCCTCATACTCGGCCTCCAGTTCGTCATACTGTTGCTTGAGGGTCAGTTTCTCCTCCAGCACCACCAGCCCGTACTCGGCAGCCTGGATCTTCTCGTGGGTCGTTTCTGTGAGCTCCTTGGTCAGCCTCTCTATTTCAATCTTATAGTGGTCTACCGTTTGCAGCACCTCTTCTGCGGCCATAGCGGGGTGGCGGAGATATTGCAAAACAGAGGGGTAAAGGAAAAGCAAATTGGGATGGAGGTAAAAATGGAAAGGGAAAGTGCCTGATGAATAGGCAGAGTGCCCTGAGGCCCGGCCGGCAGCGGCTGCTACACGGCCGGAAGCACTGAGGAGGGATACACCATGGAGACTGCAGAGTGATGACCGCAGCGAGGATCCTGCGGCCCCGGGCCGTCAGCAGCCAAGCTGCATCGTCAGGCGCAGCTCGGGCAGCAAGAGGCTCGGGCTCTGCGGCCTCAGAGGCGCGTGGCCGCCATGTCTCGGCCTCGTCACTGCGGTCCACCGCCCAGTGCCCCGCGGGAAGCTGAGCTCCACCTGCTCGCTGGGCCCTGCGGCAGCCAGTGCACACGGATGCGGACTCCAGCTGGCCGGCTCCCTCCCTGGCCGCGCAGGAGGCGGGGAGGTGGGGAAGGGGAGGAGCAACCCAAAGCCCCACTGCGCCTCGCCGCGCGCGGACCGCTGAGAGGTGAGGGAAGAGGAGCCCAGAACCAGCAGAGGAAGGATGGGAGGGCTGAGGACTGAGAAGAGGGAAACCTGCCGAGGAGCGGGTGAAGGCTGAGGAGAAGGACTGGCTTGAAGGGAAGTAAAGGCTGAGGAGATGAAGGAGGCGCGCGGGAGTGGGGGTGGGGGCCACAGCTGAGGAGAGGTACTAGGCTGAGGAAGGCTGGGCAGCTGAAGAGGGATGAGACAGTTGGGAAGGGTGGAGCCTGAGAGAGCAGAGCACTAAGAAGGCCTTCACCAGGCTGACTTTGCTGAGGTAGGAATTCGAAGTCCCTTGGAGTGCAGTGGGCCCAAAGAAACAGAACTTGTGCTCTCAGCTCTCAATACCTGAAGTGCTTTTCCGAAGATTGATAGATGTATTTTAGGAGCCCTTCCATCCTTTCTGGGGCTCTTTCTAATTTGGTCTAATCCACCTAACACTTCACCAAATAACTGTTCTGTCCCCCTCAGTACAAACATCACTAAGGATTGCTTACCTTGGTCTAGCTTCTGTGCACTTAGCTCATCACAGCAGCTTTGTCTACCACTGTAGCCTGCTGTCAAGTAACACTATTCCTGGGGAGATGTGAACCTGTCACCCCAGAGGCCAAAGTAAGTCTACCACCAAAGTCCAACTTGGTGAACCAATGGTTTTATTAGGATTATATTTACAGGAATTTTCGTGAGAAGTTATTTACAGGAGCAGAAATGATTCAAAAATAACTACATCACCAAAGCCCACCCCAGCAATGGTGACAGCTCATAGACAGCAGAAAGCCTGGACAACACTGAACAACTTGCAGAAAGCTCAATGGGTTAAACACTATCGCTTTCAGATAACTCAGGTGATCTGCATCTCTTCTAGGCAACTAAGCATGTCTGAACCATCCCTGAACCAGCTTTACTTATTATATATGCTTGGGGAGGGAGTGAATGTGAAATGATGCAGTCTTTGGGGTTTTCATATATGCATCCCAAACCCCCATATTCCCCCCCTTATCCTTGTTGCATCCCCCCACAAAAGAAAACAAAACAAAGTAAGCAAGCAAACAAAAGCATGAGAAAAAACGAATAAACCAAAACAGAACAAAAAAACACACCCAAAACAACAAAATCTCTGCTTCTCCTGCCTCTCCATCACATCTTCATCCATCCTGATGACATTGGAGGCTTCAGTGTGTCATATAGTATACCCCTTTGTCTCATCAGCTTGACTGGCAACTGTCCATTGCAATGAGACATTGGTCTGGTTCAAGGCCTCTGGGTTTTGGTGCACTATCTTCACTGGGTCTTCACCAGAGTTCTCCAGGGGTATCCCATGTCTTAGAGATTTTTGCAAGTATCATTCCGAAGGACAAGTCCCTTCACAAGCTCCAGCAGGCCTTAGTTGAGGTAAATGCTAAGGTAGGTCAACCCAGGACCCAGTTGTGAGCCTGGGTGTAAGCCAGGCAGGTCAGATTGAGCCCACTGGGAGTCAGCTCCCTTACATGCATGCCCTCAGGGTAGGTTCATCATTGCCTGGACCACAGCAACTCATAAAGAAAACATTGAATTGGAGTGGCTTGCTTACAGTTTCAGAGATTCAGTCCATTATCATCATGGTGAGACATGGCAGTGTTATGGTATCTTGTTTGTACTCTAACAAATAAGGCTTGCCCGAAGAGCAGAGGACAGAGCAGGCAGGAAGTGGTATGGCTGGACAGAGAGAGGAATGTAAGGTGGGAGGAGACAGGAACTCGGCCTCTTTTCAGTCTGAGGATTTCATAGAGGAACTCCAGTGGCTGGCTGCTTTGTCTCTCTGATCTTTCAGCACTTACCCCATATCTGACTCTGGGTTTTTATTATTAAGATCAATTAGAATTTGTGCTATATGGCAGCTTCAGGCAAACACAGTGCTGGAGAAGTAGCTGAAAGTCCTACATCTTGCAGGCAACAGGTAATGGTCTGTCTCAGTGAGTGTGGCTTAAGCATATATGAGATCTCAAAGCCACCTCCACAGTGACACACTTCCTCCAACAAGACCACATCTATCTAACAAGGCCATACTTCCTAACAGTGCCATTCCCTTTGGGGGCATTTTTTATCAAACCATTACAGAGACTGAGATCTAAGACATAAGATGGTGTGCCAGAACACTAGAGGCCTTGAACCAGACCAATGACTCATTGCAATAAACATTTGAAAGTAAAGCTAACTGAACAAAAATATATACTGTGTGACACACCATGGCTCCCAATGCCACCAGGATGATTAAAGAGGTGTTGGAGAGGCAGGAAAGATGGCAGAGCAAAGCTTTTTTGTTTTGTTTGTTTGTGTTGGTTTGGTTTGATTTTATTTGATTTTTTAATTCTTTTAGGGAGTTCTGCAGGGGTGAGAAGAGGATATGGAGAGAAAAGGATGCAGGTTGTAAAATTCCCAAAGATTCAATATATATAATTGAGCCCTTGAGAATAGGTGGAGGGTAAACTATTTACCAACTATTATTTATCTCATAGAATAAAAATGCCTGGAGAGAGCCCAGCAATGGTGCACATGCCTTTAATCCTGGCACTTTGATGCAGGCGGGTCTCTATGAGTTTGAAGCCAGCCTGGTCTACAGAGTGAGTTCCAGGACATCCAAGGCTACACAGATAAACCCTATCTCAAAACAAACAAGCAAACAACAAAGTCTGGAGAAAATTTTCTGCCTAGAATTCTCAACTGAAAATTCCAGTTGGACTACTTTAGCAGAACTTTTGAGCTTGAGTTCTACTGGATGTTAAAAGTGCCCAATTTCATGGTGCTTTGCTATCTGTTAGTTGTTATTCGTTCTTTTACTTGGAAGCCTCATTCAAGGGGGTGCTCTACCTAGAACATTCTCAATTGACAATTCCAGCTGGCTGTCTTCACTGGGCTTCCCCAATCCATTTCTTCAGGATATTATAAGCATCCAATTTGATGATGTTTTCTAGCTACAACTTGCTATTTGTTCTTTTCCTTTTGTTTTCCACATGCTTAATAAACTCAGTCAGTCAAAACTTAATAATGGCTATCACATCACTCTCAGAAAAAAACACTCAGGTATTTATCTCAACAACAAAAAGACTAATACATGACTGTCTGAAGTCAGCCATGTGAGGTAACTTTTTATATTTTAATATTATGAAATAAAGAGAAAAATTACTTTTGAGAAAATCAATCAGCCCTTAATCCACTATCTGGATGACTAGAAGTAGATAAGGCTGGGAGTTATAGCAAAGATAATCTACTTTGGGCACTTGAAAACACTTCTTTAATTGAGCTATACTTCACCTACCATAGAATTCACCTATTATTACAATGTGTAATTCAATGGTTTTTAATTATTCAAGCAACACTACAGTCAGTTTTAGAAAAATTTTATTTCAAAACTATCCCTGGAGACTCTGGGGACATAAATGGAAAGAATATAAGAGCCAGATGATGGGGAGGCATGGTATGTTATGCTGTATCTGATCATGCCATGACTGTTGCCTTCAGAACTCATTGTTGCTATGGTTACCTAGGCAAGACTCTCATAAAACCAAGCTGACAAGATCAATAATCTTTCCAACAGGTATCACTAAGAGGACTCAGTGAGTTACAAAAAGAAAAGGGAGATGAAGGTATGGAAGTGGGGGCAGAGGGAAGTGTTGGGGGGTGTGGTGCAGGGTGGGAATGGGGGAATTGGGTGTGGATATAATCAAGACACATATATACATATATGATGTTGTCAAGGAATAAATAAAAGATTTTTCTAAGGAAATTCTGTGCTATCACTCTCCTATCCCACTCCACAGCCCTCTCCACCCCTCCAGTTAAGGAATCAATAGACAAAATTTTGTCTATATATTTTTCCCTAATTTTGACTTTGTGTAAATGGAGTTGCTGTACAGCAGTATCCTCCTCATCTTAATAAGACCAACTGTGTCTGCTTGCAAATGACTGTCACAGATGGGCTTGTTGACTGTTGACATTCCTTCGTAGAAAGTGATGGGAAGGGTCACTGGATCCTCACTGTAGCATCCAGCTACTCCTCCCAACCAGTTCTGTGCAGTTTTGCCTAACTGCATGTGACCTAGGTGTCTTAGAGTGGGCCTAGAGTGGGAAGGGTACTCCATCTGTGCATCAATAAGAAGTCATTACCCATGCTGAGTGCAGGCCTGTCTACATAGAAGTTTCAGGTCAACCAGGGTTATATGGTGAGATCTTGTCTCAAACAAACGAACAAGAAAAAAGTATATGCTATAGCATTTATCAGTACTATTTTCCTTTTTGTGGTTCAATATAATCCATTGGGTAGGCATAATCCATTTTTATTTAGTCATCAGTCAATGGACAAAATAGACTATTATCAACAAGGCTGCACTAAACATCATGCACAATTTGCATCATGTAATGTTGTTGATGTTTTAAAATTATTTTTATGCATATAGGTGCTTTCACCTGCGTGTATGTCTGTGTACCATATACATGCAGTGCCTGTGGAAGACATCAGGGAGTGTCAGATCCTCTGGAATTGGAGTTACAGATGGCTATTAGCCATCATGCACATGCTGGAAATCAAACATGGGTCTTCTGGAAGAGTAACAAATGTTCCTAACCACAGAACCATCTCTCCATCCCCAAGCACAAGGTTTTGTGTGGACTTGTATTTTCATTTTTCTTCTGTATGCCTTGGAATACAATTACTGGTTCATGTGGTAATTGTAACATTTTTTAATAACTTCCAGATTATTTTCCTAAGTATCTGGACCACTTCAAATTCCCAGCACCAGTATATAAGAGGTTCAATTCCTTCCTATCCTAAGTAGTGTTTTGCCTCATATGAATTTACTCTTTTATTTTAGCTACCCAAACATAATGATTTCTTATAGTTTTAATATGCATTTTCCTGGTAAATAATAATGTTTACTGTCTTTTCATGTATTTGTTGAGCTCTAATATACCTTCTTTGGAGAAATGCCTGTCCAGATACTTAAACCATTATTGGAAGGAAGGGTACATCTTTACTATCAAGTATATGAGTTCTTTGTATAGTCTAGATGCATGTCCTTTATCAGATATTTGATTTGTAAAGGTTTTTTTTTTCCTATTCTGAAGGTAGCCTTTTCATAGTCATGATAGTATCCTTTGAAGCACAAATTTTTAAGTTTTGATG